CTCAGGCCCTGAGTGCTTGCAGGGAAGCACTTATTCCACTGAGCCATCTCCCCGGCCCACCATTTTTTTTTTTTTTTTAACAACAACAACAACAAAAAAAGGTCTAGGAAGAAATAGATAAATTCTGGAAGGTTCCACTCTATAGAGATTGGGTGGAAGATGAAAAGAATTTTTCTTTCTCCTTCACCTTACATATTGAAGAACTTTTTAATAATACAATAGTGTGGCAAATCAAAATATAGATAGCAACAAATTTATTTATGATTTTTTTCAAACTTTATCTGAACTCTATAGATGAGAGATCAGCAAGCTGTACTTATTATCACAGTAGCTGGAAACAATACATCTGTAGCTCTAGTTCTTTTGCTTCCAAGCTCCCAAGCCTTGAACCCTTCTAGTCCTGGCTTTCTGGTGGTAGGGAAAGTTTTACCAGCAAGGGAGATTTGCAGGAGGGCAACAGTAACTTGATATGTGATGCTGTCCGGAAGTTGAGTTTAACTTAGATGTTTTTTACATATGTCCCATTTTACAAAAGACACTGTAAACCCTAAAAACACTTCCAAAATGTGTGCAAACAAGCTGTGTGAGTTCAAGTTTCTTCATATTGGATTGGTACTTCTGTAGTTAATTTTATTTATTTAGTAGTTCTGGAGATCAAATGTAATGCCTCACACATGCCAGGCAAGTACTTTACCACTGAGCTACAGTCCTAGCCCATGACCTTATTTTTGTGTTCTGCAAATTATTAGTTTATTTTAGTTATGGTTTTTGCTTTCAACACGGTTCAGAATACTTTTTCTCAGCATCTCCTCCCATTTACAATTTCAAAAATTACCTCCTCCACTTGTTTTCATAGCTAATACATAGTGAACAATTGATTTATTTTGCAAGTATTCCGGGTATAACTAGGCTGGTCTTGTGATAGTAATGCTAGGTGCTATAGAATCTACAAACTCTACCTCAGGCAAACAGCCCTGGGCCTTCTTCCTTTGTGTGTGTTGTGGGGTAAATGTGGGTGCAGGGGCAGGGTGGGTGTGAAGCAGAGGAGGGCAACAGATGGCGCTTTAGATAGTGCATTTTCTTTCTTTTCTTTTTTTGTTTTCAATAATTTTATTGAGAAACAAATAGCAATGTGATAGTTTCAAAACCGATTAGTAGGACAGTTTCAATAATTAATACATTACATATTGCTGTCCTCTGAGTGGTTATTCATAGTACAAGATGCAGACATGATATCCTGTCCACGAACACTATTAGATCAAATCTTTCTCTTCATTGAATTAAGAGAAAGCTGTATATCTATCCTAACTATTTTGAATATACAGATACAAAATGGTCCTTCATTTGTATCCCCTTTTTTGTTTAGTTTTGTCAGAGAAGGGTATTCCATTGTCATTTAAATATTGTAGATGTGTGAATTCAGCAAAATATTCCAATATAGTCCAGTAGATAGTGCATTTTCAATGACTATTTTGAGGAAAATAAAGGAACCTGCTTAAAATTCCATGGTTTCTGGAAGACTAAAATTGGTCCACAGTCAGGCAGCTGAGGCAGAAAGTTCACCACAAGTTCAAGGCCAGCCTGGGCTACATAGTAAATTCAAGGGCAGCCCGAATTGCAATGTGAGACTCTGTCTCAAAAAATAAATACAAATTAAGACAGACAGACAGACAGACAGACAGACAGACAGACAAAAAAGAAAAGGAAAAGGAAATTGGGTCCATTCCACTATAGTTAATAACTATTTTACTGTATATCCATCTTAAAATACCATGTTATTTACTTTAAATATACACAATAACATTTCTTTTAAAACAAGGAAAAAAATTGTGTCCAGGGTAAATTCTATTTTTCTGATAATTGAGTTTTTAGTTTTGACATTTTAGGATCATTTTCCTATCTAAAAGAAAGTATTCTGTAGTGTTCCATAGTGTCCATACATATGTGTGAATGAGTTAACTGGCTCTTATCAGTGAGGGTGAGTGGCAAATAGGTTCATGGAACCTCATTCTATATCATATTCTCACATTATTAACCCTCTAATCTAGGTACTATCAGGACAACATTAGTATACCTATTTTATGAATGAGGAAACTGTGGTTTGGGAAGCTTAAGTCATCTGGGTAACCACTGATGGAATTGCATTCATACCATTTCTGCTGCAAAGTTCATTCTTTAAACACCCCCCCCCATTTATTTCCCTGGTGCTAGCAGTTAAACCCAAGGTCTTACATAGGGTAGGCTAGCACTCTGCCTCTGACCAAAACCCTGCAGCCTATGAGTAACACCATACTCAGTTGTTTTGTTTTATTTTGCTTTTGATACAAGGTCTCACTGCATATTTTGAACTTACCTTGAACTCACTGTATAATTCAAGCTGGCCTCAAACACAGCCATCCTCTTGCCTCAGCCTCCCAAGTGCTGGGATTATAGGTGTACACCTCTGTACCCATCTGTAAGCAACTTTTGTTTTTGTATTTTTCTCTTGTACAACTTGAGAATCTTTTATGGATCATGCAGTTACTGACTAATACATCTAATGGTTCTAAAATAACAGACTGGGTGTCTAAGCAAGAAGTCAGTATTTGACTAGAAAGAGGTTGTAAGAAGATGTCAGGTGGAGCACTGTTGGGAGGGTGACCAAGGAGGCTCTCCCCTGTCTTTTCAGGAAAACATGGTTGTCTGTCATTTTACACTAAAGGCTTGTCAGAGCCCCCAGAACATCAATTTTCAGTCTTGACATTCCTCAGGATCAAATGCTTTAAGGATTTAGAGAAATTCCACAGTTGTCACAGTGGCTTAGATGTTGGGAATTGCCTTCTTGGGTAGCAGATAATGTGAGTATTCCATAGCTAACTTTTTTTTTTTTAAATCAGTATTTTTGGCTTCTGACTTTGTTAGTAAATAAATACACTAGGATACACACTAGAATAGAAATACTCTAGAATGAAGGAGTTCCATTTTAAATCTTATGCAACAGATTTTATTCGAGTTCTTCAAGACTGTTACCAAAAATAGACATACAGGGCCCTAAAAAGTCTCTTTCACATTTGTTCAGACTTTTCATTTTGCATTTCTATGACACCCTAACACCTGAAACATGTGTGTGAGTCTTTGTGTGCTTACTATATAAAAGGCAAACTGAAAGTCCATCTGAGGTTCTGAAGGCATTGAAGGTCTTCTTAGACTATAAATCAGCCTATCAAGAAAACTGAGGGAGAAAAGTATTGGGCTAAAATTTCCGGCAGAGATCCCCACCAGGTGGTCATCAGGACTTACGCCTTCTGTATTTGTAGTATTGCCTCAGTAAGTGAATGGCTTGTCAAAAAATTACATTCTTATTATAATAATTGCAGACTCAGAATTAAGAATTTTGCCATAGCAATATAATATTCTTTCATTAAAATGACTGTCAAATCCCACAAGCTAACCAAATAATTGTCTGTGTTTGCAGAACTGAAGTCTTTCTTATTCTAAACACAGGTCCTGCTTGTCACTTAGAGCATCAGTTTATGTTTTCTTCTCTTTATTGCAACCACTAATTTTTTTCTGCTAATTTTTATATCATGCTGATTTTATGTGGTAAGTTTCTGTGGAATGAGGGAGAAGGAATTATTTCATATTTTTTAGTAAGTCTGGCAGATTTCATTAAAAGTTAAGTCACTTTTCTCCATATATAATTTATGCAGAGGACTTTGAGAATTTTCTAAAGGGATTATTAGGGTAAACAAAGTTATCAGGAAATGGAAGATTTTAGTAACAGTTTATTAAAATTCATATATGATATTTCTCTTTTGTTTCAATAAGCACCTAAATGATTGTATTATTTGGCAATTTTGAATCTAGATTATTCTACAGTTGTGTGAAGCAGAGACCTCCCCCTAAGTGGAAAGGATCCTGTTAAGTTAATGTGGATGAATATTTTATAGGTCGGGAAGGAAGGAGAGGACACAGTTTTCAGTTTCAGGGTGAACTTTAGGCCAGTGTGCCATGTCTGTTATCTTTTGTCCTACTGAAAAAACAGGAGCCAGGCCCACTACATTGCAGATTCTCTCAGGGGTAATGTTCATGTAAGGGTGTCAGGGTTAACCAAAATGTGACTTGGCTTTGCACAGTTCTCCTGGTTTTTTCTTATCTATGCAACAGAGTATTATAATATCTGCATTTCAACACTCATCCTTGTACAATGAAAAAAAATAAAAGAACTGTTCCTTAGTAAATGTCAGCATATTGTATAATTCTGTTTATACTAAGTATCTCTATGGCAAATCCATAGAAACAAATGTAGATCCATGGGCAGGAGGTAAAGACTAGAAGTAATGGAGGTGCCTGCTAATGGGTTTAGGTTTTTCTTTTGGGTGATTGAAAATGTTTTGGAATTAGGCAAGACATGACAGCCTATGCCCGTAGTCCCAGCTACTTGAGACATTGAGATAGGAGGATCCTTTGAACTCATGAACTCATGAGTTTGAGACCATCCTAGGCAACATAGCAAGACTTCACCATGAAAAAAAAATTTTTTTTAAGCCAGATGTGGTGGCACTTGCTTGCAATCCTAGCACTCTAGGAGACTGAGGCAAGAGGCTCTTAAATTTGAGCCCAGCCTGGGCAATTTAGGGAGACTTTGTCTCAGAAAATAAAAGGATTAGGGATATAGCTCAGTAAGAGGTCTTAGGTTCAATTTCAAGTACTACAAAACCGAAACAGTCTAGGGAGAGAGGAAGGGAGAGGAGAGAGGAAATGTTCCAGAATTAGGTAGTAGTGGTTATTGCACAACTCTCTGAATATACTAGAAGCTACTGTACTCTACATTTAATTTAAACTAACAACAACAAAAAAAAGGTTGATCTGTGGAGGAAAGAACAAAGTTAATAAAGAGGTCATTATGATTAAAAACTTTCACTTTTGTTCTAGCATAAATGTTGCTTGATAATCTAAATATATTTTGGGCCTTGAATGTTGTAAGTTATATTTGATAGTGTTTCTCCTGACTCTCACAGGGCCACGATGGGCTTCCTGGAACATTGGTGTGTTTATCTGCATTCGATGCGCTGGGATCCACAGGAATCTGGGGGTGCACATATCCAGGGTAAAGTCAGTTAACCTTGACCAATGGACTCAAGAACAGATTCAGGTACTTACACAGCTAAGGGAGGGTCAGCTGTTCCTATATATCCTGCACATAAAAGTAGTTCCAGATGAATTTCAGTCAAACTGGGCACAAAGGTAATCATAGAGGAAAATTTAGTTGTGAAACACTTATGTCAAATTCTTGGCCAGCCATGGTGACCCATACCTGTAATCCCAGCACTGGGGAGGGAGCTTGAAGCAGGAGAACTGTCATGAGTTTGAGGCCTGCATGGGTATCAGGTGAGTTCAAGGGCTGCCTGGACTATATAACGAGATCCTGTCTCAAAAAACAAAAACACCACCAACAAAAAATTTTGTACCTTAGCAGAGAGTTTTAATCTTATTTAAGATACATGTTTTTCTATCTATATTTTACTTCTTTTAAAACACAAGCAGAGCTGAATATGCTGTAATCCTGGTACTTTAGGAGGCTGAGGCAGGAGTACTGCAAGTATGAGACCAGCCTAGGAAGTTTAGCATTTTAGTGGGACCTAGTTTCAAAAAACAAACAAACAAACAGACAAAAAAACACAGCTGAGGATGTAGCTTTGTTTGAAAGCCTTGGATTCAATTCTCAGTACTGAAAAAAACAAGACAAAAAAAAAAAAAAAAAAAAAAAAAGCACTACCAAACAAACAAACCAAAAACTCCACAAATAATGTATAGTCTAAAGCCCCATAAATCCATAAAAGAATTAAGAAGTATCTTTGGATAGTGTCTAAAATTAATGTTTGGATTTGTCTAAGACATTTGGCATTTATAGATCTAGGATTTATAGTTTTAGATATAGGCATTCACTTTAAAAAAAAATTCCCAGCTGTGAGTTTAGCTCATTGATAGAGCACTTGCCTATCATGAGGTTTTGGGCTCAAACCCCAGCACTACAAACAAACAACCTCTCAAATCAAAGACTGACAGGTACTGTTTTATTCCTAAAATGAACATATGATTTTTTTTTTTTTCTTTTGAGACAGGGCTCACTATGTAGTTTGGGCTGGCCTTGAGCACATATCTTGCTTCCTGATAGCTTGGTAAGCTGGGTCAGACTTAAGTTACTAATTTCAGCTGACCTAAGGTCTATGCCTTGATTTTGTTCTTCTTCATTCTCTGGCTACATTGAAGAACTTCAACTTTTTCCTCTTTTGAGGGTGAGGTAAATATGGATGGTCTAAAGAAAGCTAGTTGTTAAAGTTGGTGATAGAAATAAGAGGCATTTTCAAATCAGAAAATGCCCTTAGAAATGTACAGACTGTATTAGTAGATCATTAAAGGTCTAAAATGGTGAGTTGTACTTTTCAGTTATGCTTTACTTACTGTATGTTATGAAGGAAGTTACAAGCCATGGAGTCATCTGGGAATTGGAATATTAAAAGCTCTTGGGGTTTATCCTTCATGGGGGTTAAGGGATCTATTTCAAAAGTCTAATGAGAAATATACATTTTCTAGTAATGAGGCTAATTAATGCAATAGTATAAAGTCAGAATTATGACACCCATTATTGGTGGACAAGTAGACATTTTGATTGGGAGCTGTGTATCTTGGACTTTCAAATGAAATCTTGAATTATTATTGAGTTAAATGTATCTTGGCAAGCAAATCTTTCTATAAAAGGACCTGAGGAAACACAGATGTGGGGATAAGTAATTGGGAATTCCAAGCAGGGTGGTTAGAATTGTGGATTGGAAACCAGAATACACAAATTTGAATATTGCTTCTGCTTCTCTCTAGCTTGGTTCTTCAAGTGTACAATGGGAGAATTGGATGAAACATTTTTCTTTCCTAATCTGACATTCCATGTTTCTACATTCTCTTTGATCACAGTGCATGCAAGAGATGGGAAATGGAAAAGCAAACCGACTTTATGAAGCCTATCTTCCTGAGACCTTTCGGCGACCTCAGATAGATCCATATCTTTTCTGGAGCAACTTAGAAGGCTAAGTGATATTTTGATGTTTCAAGAGAATTAGACAAGACTGAAGGTCTTAGGATCTAACTAGGCCATCTTTGTATGGATTAATCAAAGACCTGGTTTTTCCTTTCTCCTGCAACCAAGACATCAGAAAAAGTGCACATATACTTGCTGATGTGAGGATTGTCATACAGGGCCATGTAGGGGAGACTCAGGAATTATGACCCTATGATTTTACTCTGAATTCTTCCATAAAGTGACATTTCCATTAGTTTTTAGGTCTCTGAAACTATTGTTTGATAAAAAGAATAGTTTACTGTGCTTCATTGGACCCTGGCAGTCAGCAAACTACCATTCATTTTTTTCACCTTTCTATGTCTTGTATGAAAGAATTAGCTGTTTTATACAGGGAAGCCCCCTCATACAGTGAGGCAAACCTTTTAGAGCTTTCAGTGATACAGCCCGCTGTGGCACATCTGCCATATATTTGCCAACCGTTCCAGCACCTAAACAGAAAACCAAATCCCATAAAAATGATGCCTCTCAAAGTGTAGCATATAGATCACCTTTTTTTCCCTTTTGGTGATGGAAGTATGCAGAAGACCCCACTTGATCAGAATACGGTAGTGATGCACAAGAGTTTGGGGGGGGTTGTTTTTTGTTGTTGTTTTTGGGGCACTGGGGATTAAACTCAGGACCTTGGGCTTGCCAGGCAGGCACTTATTCTAGTGAGCTATCTCCCCAGCCTGAGTTTGTATTTTTGAAGAGGACTTAGATGACTTTTTGGAGTCCTGTTGATCTAAGGGCTTCACCTGTATTCTGGAATAGCCGCCAATACCTCTGATGTCAGTGTGCCGATTGACCTGACTTGCTTCTGTCATAGGAAATAAAGCTTTTCTGCAGTAACTTTGAAGAAAACATTTTAAGATTTTGGGCAAGAAAAGTGCATAGGAAGAGACAAAAGTCTTATGGGGAAACCAGACAGGAAAGAAAGAAGAAAATAGTACTTCATGAGATACAAATTTGACCTTTTATATTCTTACTGTTAGAAAGAATTGATTAATCCTTAATGAGCTTTTTGCAGAGCGGTTGAGGGATTTATTCGAGATAAATATGAGAAGAAGAAATACATGGACCGAAGTCTGGACATCAATGCCTTTAGGGTTGGTTATAAATCTTTCAAGTTTTTTTCATAAGTAATTTGCTTATTAATCAGGCCAGGTAGGAACTTGACAAACTGGCACAAAAGTACTCCAAAATTGTCACTTGTATGAAAATAATACCAAAGTAGGAAAACTTACTAAGTAAAGACCATGCAATATCCTTGAACAAACTTTGGTCTTGAGGCTGTCCAGGGAAAACCATCAGTAAATTCTTTGGCTTGATCTATGTTTAGATATGAATGATTCTCAGTTCTAGTTTTTTAATTGAATATGGTGGGGATAATAGATCAAACAGGATAGTTAAGTGTATGCATGTATGTATAGACATAAATATCAATAGTGCATGTACACTGATATATATGTGCATATTCTTTTTTCTGTAAATAACATAAATAATAATGCCTGTATAATTAGATCAGCAGAATTTCCTTCAGTTTGACCAATATATACTCGTACCTTTACCTGCTGATGACCAATGTGTCAGTGGACTGATTGCCAAGAGGACCCATTCTTGTTCCTGAAAAGGGTTTTGGTGGGAAACTGACTACCAGTTCCAAAGAATACATTCCATCTCAAGCATGGTTAAGGTCTGAAATAAAGAACAAAAAGCTGTGTGAAGTGAGTATTAGCTTATAGATGAATTTCAACATGAGCAAGTAAGTCCAGGTATTACATGTAGTTAGGGAAAAGTAATTCCTGCCCAACTGAATATGAAGGGCTATTCTCACACAGTCTTACAGAAAAGACTTTTGTCAGTTATAACTGTTCCAAAGAAAGCAATAACCCGGTGTATAGCTACAGTTTGAATGGCATTATCAAAAAAGTTTTAGAACCAAGCTACACACATTTCCTTTTATTTGTAGAGAACTATGGTCTGCTCATTGTGCCTGAAATATAAAATCAGATGAGTTCAGGAAAGAGTATCTGAGGTAGTCTAGAATATGAGGAGGAGAGGCTTGCTGCAAGAAGACAGTTGTAAGGTATTCATGATTACATTGCCAGGGTGCCCCCCCTATGAAAACAAGCCTTTCCTCTTGGTAAGGAAATAACTTCCCTCATGCTTACTAGAAAGCTGCATCAACATTTTTAAATTTGACATACTTAGATTTGTTTTTATACTCTTAAGATTTTTATGTCAAGAATTGATATTTGCCAAGTGAAAATTTCAAGCAAAAAACTGGCTTTGTTAAAGAATATGTTTTTGTGTGTTTTGTGGTGATACTGGGGATCACACCCATAGCCTTATGCTTCCTAGGCACAGCCCCTAAACTACAGCCTCAGCTGTATCCTTTTTTTTTTTTTTTATTCCAAGTATCCTTTTTTTTCACTTATGTTTTTGGTACAAGGCCTCACTATGCAGCTCAGACTCATAGTGATCCTGTTTTCACCCTTCTCAGTGCTGGGATTACAGGCATGCACCACCACACCCAGACTCAGTGGCCCACTCAGCGCATCCTTAGGCGGGTGCCCTTGGCCAGGGCTGGTGCAGCATGTGGTGCCAGGGATTGAATCCCGGTCCTGGTGCTTGCCTAAGCAGGATCTTAGTCCATTGAGCTATCTCACTGACCCAAAGTATCCTTTTTAAATAGATACAAATTTTTCAACTCCAATTTAAAGTCTTCTGTATTAAAGTGCTGCACTCTGTGAAAAAGACGAAGCTGTATGTGCTGTGATTATAAAAACTTTTTATAGAAAATATGAAAATTCAAGGCTGGGGATATAGCTTAGTAGCACAAGTACCTTTCTGGCAAGGGCAAGGTCCTGAGAGTCCCAGTACAAAAAAGAAGAGAAAATTAAAAATTATGAATATTCTTACTGTCTTTAATAATGATTATCATTTGATGCATTACCTTATTTATATGTAGTTACTTTCTGGAGATACACTGAGAATCTAGTTATGTAGAATGTCCCCTGCTTCATTCTACATGACAAGTTATACATTATATTGTTATAGAACCTCTTAGTGAGTAGGTACATCATGGTTTGGTGTTCCCCTTCTGGACCAAAAGGGTTATTTAGCCATGAGTAATTCTGGCATTACTATCTTGGTGTGTATGACTTCTTTCATATTTTAGATTTTTTTCATGTATTTTGTGCACAGTCATACTACACAGCTCAGACTCATAGTCATCCTCCTGTTTCAAGCCTCCCAGCACTGGGATTACAGGCATGTGCCACTATGCCTGGTTGCTGGCTCAGTGCACCTTAGGGTGGGGCTGGCGTGGCATGTGGTTCCAGGGTTTGAACCCCTGTCCCTGAGCAGGCTCTTAGTCTGCTGAGCTATCTCATTGGCCCTTTGATTATTTTCTTAATATTCATTAAAATGATGTTATCTCAGTCAAAAGATTTTAATATTTTCTCTTCATACTTTCGCCAGTATACTTTCCAAAAGTTGTACCATTTTACAGTCTTTTCAGCATTGTGTAAGAATACTAGCTTTACTTCCTCCAACACTAGGTATTATCACTGTTAGCATTTTTCTCCTACTTAAAATGCATTTTTAGTCACCATGACTGAATTTTTCATATGCATGTTACACTTTTTTTTTTTTTTTTTTTTTTTTTCAATTGTTTCTGTGGTGCTAGGGTTGAAGTCAGGCCTTTGCATTGAGCTATATCCACAGGCTCTTTTAAAATCCATTTCTGTTTTGAGACAGGGCCTCATTAAGTCACTGAGTTGCTCAGGCTGGGCTTGCAGCCTCTTGCCTCAACTTTCCAAGTACTGAGATTATAGGCATGTGCCATCTATGTGCCTCCTGTTATTATTAGTTTTTTCTCAGATGGGGGTATCACTGTATATTCCAGGCTGGCCTTGCACTTGTGGTGATCCCTCAGGCTCCCAAGCCTGTATTCTTAAGGTTACTTTTTATCCCCTCTGGTCCTGGGGCTTGATCACAGGACCTCATACTTGTTCATGCTGTACATGAACATTTAGTAGATGTTTATTTGATGTCAAAATGTGACCAATAACCTTATAATCTGTGCAAACATTATGAAACTGCCTCTGAAAGTAACTAAAACTTAGACTTTCTAATAGTTTTTTTCTTGATATGCTTTTTGGTTTTATGGAGGTGGCTCATTCAGGACACTTTGAAAAATACATTGTAAACCCTGTTTAGAACTATAATTCTTTCTTGCTTTATTTCCTTAGTTTTGTTTTTTCTCAGGTTAAATCTTGAAATTAAGGATTTTTTTCCTGATTTTTAGAAAAAGGAGATGAATAGTAAGAGTATCTATAATTAAATTTGTAAAAATCACAAGGATATAAACTGAGAAAAATATGAACTTATTTCCCAAATTATTGAGATGAGATAGATACTCTTCCAAACATGAACAAGTTAAATTTGGGACAAAAATAGGGAGTGAACTTTTTTGCCTCTATATATAGTTTATACTGCAAATTTCAGGTATCATAAGTGGTTTAGACAGACCCAGAGTGTGAGGGCCGAAGATATTTGGAATATTCCTTACCTAGCAAGGCTCATGTGGGAGAAATCACCTCTGATATCCTATCCAAGACACACTCCCAAGTCCTGTACCAGAATCATTAGAAACTTTGGAAATACTTGTACTTTTTTGGATATTTTGAATTATTATTTATTGAACTATTAGTCACCATGTTCATTTTCTTATTAAATCATTTCAGAAAGAAAAAGATGACAAATGGAAAAGAGGGAATGAGCCAGCTCCAGAGAAGAAAATGGAACCTGTTGTTTTTGAGAAAGTGAAAATGGTAAGTTGAAAAGTAATTGTATTGTGTGGATGATGTTGAGTATATTTATGTGTGGAAGGGGAGAGGAGGACAGTGTATGGTAAGTAGATTTAATACCATTTTACATTAAGGTTCCACATTTAGATCAGATCCCCTGCAGCCATTTAGGCTGCGTTCTGTTGTCACTATTGCCTAATGTGCCCTATAATACTTTCCCTTGGGATCAGATGGAGGCTTGGGAACTGCCTCTCTCCCATCTAAGCAAGAGGTACCTTCCCTGCCAGAATGGGTGGCTGCATGACACCTGAGCAGACGCTGCCCCCACTAGAGGCTGTCTCTTGTTAGGTCTCCTGTACTTCATTTTTCCTTCCTAGTTAAGAGGAGTCTCCATGTCAGACCACACTAACTACGTTTTCTATAGGATGTACTGTGGCTATAGTGGTAGATCTCTACAAGCTTGAACCCCTTTTACTATTATGTCAGGAAGAGTCTTTTATGGTTGCTGTGAACAACATTGCCTGTGTACCTAGTTACTAGTGATTGGTGCAGAGTAAATTAGGTAATTTTAAAACTGATTTGTCTTTTGTCTTTTCCTTTTTCTCTTCTTTTCTCTTTTCTTTCCCATCTCCTCTCCCTCTTCCCCCCTTCCTTCCCTTCTCTCTTCTTCCCCTGGGGATTGAACACAGGGCTGTCACACTGAGCTATATCCCCAGCCCCTTCTTTTATTTTGAGATAAGTCTTGCTAAATCACGGAGTAGCCCAGGTAGGCTTGGCCTTGTAGTCCTGTAGCTTCAGCCTCCCATAGTACAGGATGCAGACTTGTATCACCTTACCTGGACTTCCCTTTTATCGTTAAAGGTTTTCTAACTACTGGAAGATTAATTGGCTTTTGACCTTTCTACCAAATTGCCTTTTATCCTTGATTTTTTTTTTTTTTTTTTTTTTTTGTGTTTATGGGGACTAAAAAATTTCTATTTAATCTCATGCTCATTTGCTGGTTTCAGAAATCTTTGCCACTGTAGGTCTGAGGAGATAGTAAGTGCATGCTTGACAAACACAAGGATTCAGGTTCCATCTCCTGTACCACATGTCATGCAGCCCCTGAAATTGGGCATGGTGGTGCACATCTGTAATCTCAGCACTGGGTAGGCTAACACAGGAGGATCACAATGAGTGAGCTGCCTGCATAGTAACACCCTGTACCAAATAAAAAATTAAATAAAAGATGTTTTAAAAAAATCTTTGCCACTCTAGAAAACTAAACAGGAACAGGTTCTGTTTCACTGCAAGTTCAATTTATAACTCTCACGCCTCCTAGTGCTTCTTGAGTTTTGTTTCTTTGGAACTCTCTTGGAGTCAAAAAGCCTTACCACAAGAATACCGGTGGTGTTTGAAGTGGAGAGAGGAAAAGCATTCAAAATCATGCGCTTATTTCTTTGTTTTCACTGTAGCCACAGAAAAAAGAGGATCCACAGCTACCTCGGAAGAGTTCTCCTAAATCCACAGCACCAGTCATGGATTTGCTGGGTCTTGGTAAGAGTCAGACTCTTCAATTTCCTTATTCTTAGAAATGTTGATGAATTCTCAGTGACCTTAGAAACACTGGGGGAAAGAAGGCTCCTTTGTGTCTTCTTCACTAAGGTAATTCTTTCATATTCTTCCTGTTACATTTTCATCTGAGTAGTTGCTCAGAAGAGGTGTTTATGTGACATTTTTCAGGGTACCAGTACAGTACAGCATGACCCTCCGAGCCAGAGTCCCAACTGTGCCACTTAACTGTGTGAACTTGAGTTGTATACCTTACCTCTGAGTATCACTTACCTAATCTGGGTAGTGATTAGAATCTCTACTTTAGAGATGTTAGAAGGATTAAGTGGAGTGATGCCTCTGAAGCTCTTAACTCTGTGCCTGGCACATTCTAAGCACTCAGTAAATGTTTGCAGTCGCACTGAAGAGTATTGTCAAATATTTTGCCACTTTGCTGAATCTGCTTCTTATCCTCACCTCTTTGGTTTTTCAGATACAACCCATTTTTTATATGTGTGGTACTGGCACTAGAACCCAGGGCCTTCACCCCGAGCTATATTCCCAGCTCTTTTTCATTTTGAGAAAGGATCTTACTAAATTATCCAGATTAGGCTGGCATTTGTAAGTCTCCTGCCTTAGCCCCCCAAAGTGCTGGGATTATACGCATGCACCACCATGCCTAGCTAGGTGCAACAAACTTTTGAGATTGCTTGTTACACTGTAGTGATTTCCCCTTTGAAATCCTGAACTAGTAATTTTGCTCTTTGTAGAATGAAAGCCTGTTCTCTACCTCTTATTGCACTGATGATTGTACTTTGTTTTGGTCCCCTAGTGCTGGTTTAGGTTATTTTTGCTACCTAGGCTTCTAGTTTCTGTACTTTTCTTCACACCTTGCCTTTCACAGAGCCAGAGGGAGCCTGCTAGCCCTTCGACTGTGTTTCTGAGGTAGCCTTCAGGCCTGGGTTTCTGTTGCCTTGTGCCTGTTGGCTGGGGTTATAGGCTGCCCTGGAGTGCCACTGTGGGGCGAGGCCTCTTAGGAGCAGCTCTATCACAGGTAAGTAGTTGCTAAGACTGGGTTTTCATGTTCACATAGGACATTAGGCCTTCTCTATCCTCTCTTCATATATACAGAAGGAAGATGTGACCTTAATAAGCAGTGCCAAATTTGACTTCCATCTCTTTCTAGATGCTCCAGTGACCTGCTCTATCACAAATAGTAAGACAAGCAATACCCTAGAGAAGGATTTAGATCTTTTGACCTCTGTTCCATCCCCATCTTCTTCAGTTTCCAGAAAGGTGAGTCTTTTGGATTTCTTAGGATTAAAGAGTATTCTGCAAAGAGGGACAGCTTAATCATGGAACCAAGTTATGCATCCTACATGAAATTGGAATTTGATTTTCTTGATACTGTCTTACTGTTTCTTCCTCCCCCTCCCCTTCTTCCTCCTTCTCTTCCTCCTCCTCCTTCTTCTTCTTCTCCTCTTCTTCTTCCTCCTCCTCTTCTTCTTCCTCCCCCTTCTCTTCCTCCTCCTCCTTTTCTTCTTTCTCTTACTTCTCCTTCTCCTCCTCCTCCTCAAGTTGCCTAGATTGAGCTCAAACTTGTAATTCTCCTGCTTCAGCTTCCCAGAATGCTGGCTTACAAGTCCCATGTTTGGCTATTCATACCATTTTGTCTCCTGAAAAAGATGACCCTTCAAGTGGATTTCTATCAAAAATATGCTCTTTTTTTTCATGCAGAACTGGGGATTGAACTCAGGCCCTTGTGCTTGCCAGGCAAGCACTTATTCTACTGAGCTATCTCCCTGGCCCAAAAATGTTCTTTTTTTAAACATTTTTTTAAAAAATATGTTCTGTTTTCAAGCCCAAACTTTTAAGTTAGCTCCTCAGCCTGAGTTCCTGTCAGGGTATTATCAGTATGAAGACTTGAAATTTTAATGGCTAACATTTGTATAAAGCCTGCTATATACTAGGAACAGTGTCAGGTGTTTGTTGAGCAATATTATCTTTAACCCTTTTTGAAATTTTATTTGGAGACAGGGTCTTGCTAAGTTGCCCAGGGTGACCTCAAACTTTTGATCCTCCTGTTTCATCTTCCTAAGAAGCTGAATTTATGACATTTATCACCACACCAGCCCATTTGGAATATTTCATTAATACTTTCAAATATTCATCAGAGTTCCACAAAATGAACATCCTATATGGATAGAGAAACATTCATTTAGAAAAATTAAGTTACTGGCTTCTGATTATACACCTGGTAAATGGCCACCCTAGGAAATAAACTCACTTGTCTCTGTTGTATCATTTTTATTTTTATTTTTTGAATGTGTTGTATCATTTTTAAAACCAAATTACAGTCTTATGCTGAAGAACAAAGAATTGTGCCAGAGCTTATCTATAAGGTGCTATCAGCTATTTGTATGGTAAAGTTGTCAAGAAAGTATTAACTTGACATTAGCCATAAATTCTTATTGCAAATGTTTGAAGCAGCAAAAGGTAAGGGAAGTCTTTATTTTTGTTTTTGTAGTAGGAAAAAGACTTAATTAGAAAGTTAGGGAAGGTGAGGGATAAAGAAAGTAAGAGAAAATGGCAAGGAACTTTAGCCTGAAGAGCTAAAAAAAGAAATCAAGCTGGCCCTTCATAAAGGGGAATTCAAAAAAAAAAAAAAAAAGGAAAGGACCTCACCTGAAGCAGCTGGAGGGGCTCACTCTAATAGAGGATCTGGCCCTCTGAGGAAATTCACAGACCTCCATGAGGACCATTCCAACTCTCCCTCTACTCTCTCTGCCCCCAGGTGGTAGGTTCCATGCCCACTGCAGGGAGTGCCAGCTCTGTTCCCGAAAACCTGAACCTGTTTCCAGAACCAGGGAGCAAGTCAGAGGAAGCAGGCAAGAAGCAACTCTCTAAAGACTCCATCCTTTCACTGTATGGATCACAGACACCTCAGATGCCTGCCCAAGGTAGAGTTCATGGAATTATGATATGTGCAAGGAAGAGTCATGAGGACTACATCAAAGAATTATTTGTTGTGACAAGAACAGTTACTTTGGGGGTAGGGACATCATATACCAGACAAGGCTGAACATGGCTACTGGTAAAATCACATAGTATCGGTAGATAGATGTTAATGTAACCCATAGCTGCACTTCTGTCACACACCCGTGAAATCTATCTCAAGGTCTAGATCTTCCCTGACAGGGCAGTGGCAGGTTGGTACCTTGTAGGAACCACAGTGAGCCTTGTAGAGAATCTGTCTGGCTATTTTGCTATGTATAGCAGCATTTGGAGTTGAGTCATTTGGAAAAATTCTAACTGGAAAAGGGTAGCCAGTGAATGTGGGCTAGCTGTGTCCTTTCCTCTTTAACAGATGGATGTGTGTGTTTTCTTGGCAGCAATGTTCATGGCTCCTGCTCAGATGGCATATCCTGCAGCCTATACCAGCTTCCCTGGGGTAACGCCTCCTACCAACATCTTGGGGAGCATGATGCCCCCACCAGTAGGCATGGTAGCTCAACCAGGTGCCTCTGGAATGGTTGCCCCCATTGCCATGCCCACAGGCTATATGGGTGGCATGCAGGCATCAATGATGGGTGTGCCAAATGGGATGATGGCCACCCAGCAGCCTGGCTATATGGCAGGAATGGCAGCTATGCCTCAGACTATGTATGGGGTTCAGCCAGCTCAGCAGCTACAATGGAACCTTACCCAGGTAAGCTACCCTAGTTTCCTTGGGACATGACTTCTGAGCCTTTGCAAGTCTCACTTTCTGACTCTCCCTTATCCCATAAATCCCTTCCATGTAGATGAGATAATCCAAGAGATATTCTGAAGTTTGTTTCTTTTTTCTAGAAGGCATATCTAGTGTCAAGACTTTCTGAGGAATTCAGAGTTCCTGTAAAAAGTAAGGGTAATTACCCAAACCTGAATGTCTCCCTATCTTCTCAAAAAGAAAAAAAAAAACAAAACATGTAGATAAATAAGAAATTCCAATATTCTGTAACCCACTGCCACCACTATAAAAAGCCCTGGATGTCCTAACATTATTTTTTTTAATTTGTTAAAATTTTATTTGAAAATGTGCTAGAATATTTGATTACATACACATTTAATTGGGTGATTAAGGAGACCATTTTTGTAGTATAGGAATTCAAACAGGCAGAGTTTAAGATTTGAGAACTGAGTCCTATGTCCTAACATTAGATATAGAAAAAACAAACTGCAACACAGCCAATGTATTAATCACTTTCCCACCATTGGGACAAAATACCCAACACTCACAGTGTAAAGGAAGAAAAGTTTATTTTGTCTCATGCTTTTTGGAGGATTTTGTCCATAGTTGCCTGGCTTTTAACGTAGAAGTGCTGTAATGTAAGGCCTAATCAGAGAGCAGCTCCTTATCTCATGGCAGCCTGGAAGCAGAGGGGGAATGGAGGAGCCAGGAACAAGAATACACTTTCCCAAGTCACATCTTCAGGTATTGGTTTGCAATCAGGCCCCATCTCCTAATAGGACATTCAGCTGCTGAACTCATCAATGGATGAATCCAGTCACCCTGAAAACACACAAGACTTTTGGGGAACATTTTAGGCCTAAAGCCAACAGCCGGTGGCTTAAAGGAAACTATCAAAAGAGGAGAGGAAGCAGAGGCCTAGGGATGATCCAGTCATGCCCTACAAGGAGGGAGACCTACCCTAATGGAATTCACACACACTGAGAACACATCTGAGACTTGGTAGATTAGAACTCCATTTACTTGGGGATCAAATATAAGAGACTGGAAATATATAGGGTCATAAGTGGTAGCTTTTCAAAAACATTGCATGTTGGGGAGATGAACATAATGTAGAAATAGGAGGGACTCTTTAGAGATGTGGTGAAGGGAAACAAATGAGAAGTGGAAAAGAAAGTTGCAAAATTAGAGGTTAGGCTGAGTGTGGTGGTGCACACCTCTTATCCCAGTACTTAAGGCTGAGGTAGGAGGATCTTGTAAGTTTAAGGCCAGCCTGGGGTACATAATGAATCTCAAGGCCAACCTGAACTGCATAATGAGGCCCTGTCTCAAAAACAAACAAAACCAGAAGTTAACCATCTTCCTTCTCCTAAATAATTATTTCACTAAACAAAAGGGTACTCTTGGACTTAGAAATCGAGTAAGCCTCGTTCAACTCTCACAACACCTGTCTGTTACTACTGATTCACAAAAATAAGGCACCACAAAATAAACAGACTTGGCAATTTGGATTTATACAAAATTACTATGAGAAGAAAATAGAAAAAAAAAAAAACATTTCAGGTATTTAGGTGCAATGGCACACAGCTGTATTCTCAGCTACATGAGAGGCTGAAACAGGAGGATCACAAGCTTGACGTCAGCCTGGGCAATTTAGCAATACTTTGTCTCAAAATAAAGAATAAAAAGTGGTGGGAGGCAGCTCAGTGGTAGAGCACTTGCTTTGCATGTGTGTAGCCCTGAGTTAAATTCCCGGCACTGAAGAAAAAAGATTTTAGGTAATAAAAATTCTTCTTCAAAAATGCCATGAAGTAGAAAACAACTGTTGCATAGTACACCAACTTCAATAAAATATTGTTAAACATCTGAATAGAACTTTTACAAAAGGGAAGGTACTAAGAGTTGGAAGGAGGGTGAGGAAGAGGATAGAAAAAGGATTGAGATGTGTTACATGGACGCACCAATTCCCCGCAATGACTGCAATCATCATGTCCTACAGACATGTGCAAATAAAATCTGCAGATAAGACAAAAACAGTTTGAATCAGAAAGTCAAATACTTAGAACTAAAATGGACAAACAACTAGAAGCTGTGAACATTTACTGAAGTCATGAAAGAAAACAAAGACAAAATCATACTAGAAGTAAATACTGATGTACAAGTAAGCAAAAGAGGACAGATTCAGCTGAAAACGCATACTTACGTCACTGAGAGAAGACAGAACAGCTAAAGAATGAAAAATATAGATAGGTATAGTACAGGACGTAGGCAAAACCTAACACACATATATTTGGAGATAGCAAAAGTCTAAAAACAAGAGCAGGATGGTATTAATATACTTCAAACTATAAGTGCAGGAAACTTCCCTGAAGTAAGACTTGATATAATATTTAAAGAGCCCACTGTAATTCTGGGAAAACTGACCTAGAATAGTCAACTCTAAAATATCCTAGTATACTTTTACACTTCCCAAAAGAAGAACAGTCTTCAGGGCTTCAGCTTCTTCATGTTTTCCACCTCTCATCATACAAATATATGTCACCAAAATGAAACGGAAACAGCCAGGTTACAGCAGACTTTCCAACAGCACGGTGGGATGACAGAGTGCTACCCTCAGACACTCAAGCACGTACAAATATCTTATGGTCAGTCCAGCTATCCTTGTGTGAAGGTTGTAAAAGAAGAATTATCTTAAGCATACAAGAATTCCAGAAATATCATGCTGACTGGCCTTTCCCTGAGGAATCTAGCAGAAGATAAGCTTCATTCATCCAGCTGGTGACTGGATTTCTGGCTAATACTGAGCACTGAATGTTTAATTGATAATCTAAGACTGAAACAAAGGAGGATTGACGAATCCTCATTGCATTCTGTCAAATAATACTAAAACTAATGGAATGGAAAGGGAAAAAAAAGGAGAAAAGTATATTATTTAATTGTTGCAAAAGAAGTAGAAGTCATAAAATATATGCTGTCATGCCAATTATAGATGTTTGTGTAAAGGAAGAGGAGACCAGGACACTGTAAACAGCATTAATATAAAGATAATCATTAAAAAACCTGGGAATTTTTCTAAATACCAAAAGGATTTTAAAAACAAAATAGAATTGCTAGATGACAAGGTGTTGCAAATATAACACAATATAATGTAATATGCAATTGAAACCAAATACATCACTCATACCAATGACAACTCTTTATCAGGAAAAAAGATGTTCAAATTGGATCACAAAACAACACCAAACTGTATACTTGTACAAAGAAATGAAAGTTGGAACAAAGTCATTCAGAGTGAACATGAAGGGACAAGAAAACGAATTCTAGAGTAGTGCTGGGATACACTTGCTGTCTTCATCAGAGTCAGTATGAGGGTCCTTGGGTTATAAAAAGTGATGTCTGTTAGTGTTGTGGTGTTGCTCAGATTGGCCTCAGAATCCTGGGCTCAGGTTATCCTCCTGCCTCAGGCTCCTGAGCATCTGGGGTTAGAGGTGTGTGCCACGGTGCCAAACTTAGGAAAAGGTTTTGTTGTTGTTGCTTTATTTTGTGTTCTTGCTATCCCAAAGAGGCTTTATTAGAACTTAGCTGCAGAATACAGGGGCACAGTGCACAGACTAACCCCACGTAAGTATCCTTGTGTTTCCATTTTCTGTAGTCTGGAATAATTTATATAGCATTAGTCTTTAAAGTTTGGTAGAATTCCCATGTGAAATTGTGTGGTCCTGTTTTGTAATTCCTCTGTAGTTCTCTCTCTCTTTCTTTTATAGAAGTCACTTTTGGAAAACTATTTTACTTAGAGTACCTATTTCTTCAAAATTTTAAATTTATATATCAAAAGTTATGCTAATTAGGCTTGTTAACTTTTTTAAATTTTGGGATTTTGATTTATTGGCTCTACATTTTTCTCTTTCTTTTTTAATGTTTTTTTAGATGGGGTGTCAAAATGCAGTTCACTCTGTACCCCAGGCTGGCTTCAAACTAGCAGTGATCCTCCTGCCTCAGCCTTCCAAGTGCTGGGATTACAAGTGTACACTACCATACCCAGCCATTTTTCTGTTTCTTCCTGAAATTTTGGTTTATTTTTACTGATTGCTCCCATATGCTTTCAGTGTATTATTCTTTTTCTAGTTTTCATAGTTGTGATTTTAATTCACTTATTTTCTTTCATTTTTATTTAGGTAAGTAGGAAATGCTATAGAACTACAGGGACATGTCTAAAGGGCACAGGAACCAGTTTCTAGAGGCTCCCACTGGCCAACTTGTTGTTTTGTTGTTTTCTTGAGAACCTACTATATACTTGTCATTAGATTAAAACCAAGATGGCCAAAGTATGATTTCTTACCTACAATAGTACGAAGTCAAAGGGACAGAGCCAGACATACGAGTAAATTTCTTCAGTTTCCTACCCCTGCATAGATGCAGTGGGGTCAGCTCGCTGCCAGGCAGGGTGTGTCAGAGATGCTGTCCCTCAGAGGCTAGCACCTGAGTCCTGAAGGGTGAGTAATAGCTCGGCAGATGGAGTAGAAAAAGCACCCCAGATAGAAAAGCAACAAAAGTACAGCCCAGTGTATCAGTGGCATGGAACGGAACCAAGCTGAAGTCATCGTTCACCTTTCGGAGACTTTGGAAGCCACCAGGGCCAGTGTGCCTGCCTGTTGATCGAAAAAAATAATCATAGTAGTGGATTATAATACACCAAATGGAAACAAATCTGAGAACCCATAGTAATATTAAGGGGAAAGAAGGAGTGTGGAATTGAGGGAAGGAAAGGTTTCTTTACATAAGAATGATAGCCAACAATTATAGAAGGAACAGGTATTTGTACATGCTGAGATACCACTCAGATTACTCAGTTATAATAGTGAAAGTATGATGAAAACTTTACTCAAGGACAAATTAATATCATGTGCTTCTTGTTATCTTGTCCTGAGAAGGATACAATATCTTAAGTAGAATTCTTTCCAAGAATATGTGACTTGGATCCAGTGTTGAGAAAATATCAGATAAATACAAATAGAGAAATACTCTGCAGCTTTACATGCCTGGAGTCTTTTTAAATATGTGTCCGGGTGCAAAGGAAGAGTAGGGAACTGTTACAAGTTAAAGGAGACTAAGATGAAAAGGAAATGCAGTTTACGCCACAATGCTCTACTGGTGTTTCTTGGGGCAGTGTTGGTGGGCCTCTCCAAGACAAGTGCCCAAACTGCAACCCAAGCTCACTTCATTATCACAAAGTGCCAACAGTGCAATTAAACTGAATACTGAGATTTTAGTTGAAAAAGTAAAACTCTACATTAACATCTATAAAAACAAATAACACATTTGCCCTAGGTTTGCCCCCACTGCTCTAAGGTATTAGTTGAATTGTGGTTCTAGAAAAGTGTTTGTTCTTACAGGATACCTCCTGATTTACCAAGGGGTCAAATACCATGCTATCTCTAATTTTTGATGCCATCAAAATTGTAAACTTTTTAGAAATGGGGGAGAGAATTTGGCAAAATGTTAACTGGTGGATTCAAGGAAGAGATCTATGACTTCCATTATACTATTCTTAGTTTGACTTTTAAAAAAAAAAGTTAGTGGAAGAAACTAGATCTCTTGTGAAGAAAATGTACTATTAAAAGTTATCCCAGTTTACTATGTTGAGTTGGCCTTGTACAGAAATTAACAGCCATATTGGTCTAGAAATGTTAAACTTAATTTTTTTCCATTTGTACAGGGGAAATATACTGTATTAAGTATGTAAGGTCTTATCTACATGGGTTTGATTACAGAAACCAATGAAATATTCGCTAAATAATAAAAAATAAAGAAAACGTACTATGCTCAGGAAATTTCAGGCATTTTTCCTTGACAAATTGTTTCTTGCATCGATGACAAGGAGCCAGTCATTTAATCTCATCAGACAGAGACCTTACCACGCTGACTCATCTCTCAGCTCCTCCTTCACATTTCCCTTGTCCATTTAGAATAATTCAGTTGCTCTTCCTCTTCCCCTCTGCAAAAGGGAGCCTGTGCAGGCTCACGCTGAGGGCCTGCCCTCTGCTGGCAGAAAGAACACTGCAGTGGGGACTTGGCTCTGGATCTCAGGGTTGGCTCTGGCAGCTAAGCAAAAGCATGTGGTCACAATGAGGGGCTCGAAGATAAAACCTCTCAAGCTGCTTTCTTGCCACCTTGACCCAGAGTGCCTTCTTTCCTGCCTTTGTTGTCTGGCAACATTGCCTTCCTGCAGAGTCTCACATGCAGTCTTGTGTGGTGACAGCACACTAGCAAGGCTCAGGGCCATTGTGTACTGTGACAGTTTGCTTTTGTCTGCTCCTCCCTATTGCAGAGAAGACTCCTACCCAGGCTTTTGCACTAATCTGAGCTCTCCTCTCTCCCTTCCAGATGACTCAGCAGATGGCTGGGATGAACTTCTATGGAGCCAATGGCATGATGAATTATGGACAGTCAATGAGCGGCGGAAATGGGCAGGCAGCAAGTCAAACTCTCAGTCCTCAGATGTGGAAATAAAAACTAGACACCAGTTTAGTTTTTATTTTAAAAACTAGCTGCCAGTCTCTTCACCCTTGCTCTCCCTCTGTCTCGTGTTTTCCCATCCCCTTTCCCCTCTCCACCCCCCCTTGCCTACCTCTACATTTGGTTTAGAAATTATTCAATAATTCATTAAGGTTTGGCATCCTGCCCAACCTAGCCAATTCTCAAACATGCAGACCTCTCTGTTGCTTTATGTTGTTCATGTCTGAAGCCATCCCAGCACTCCCAGCCATGGCCTTTATTCTGTCCTGCACCAGCACCTTAGAAATTGTTGGCAGAAGGCACTTAAACTGTGGGGATAATGCATACATCTTTCAGTACCTTCCCTTGAGGCTGAACCTGTCAGGGACTCATATAGTTTGGAGGATTGTGTATGAGGAGAGAGCAGAGGGCCTCCTACATGTTAATAGGCTGTTGTCACATGTTTGAACTTTCAATTGAAGAGGAAAGCATCCTGTTCTCATGCTTTACGTGAATGAAGAAACAACTGCAATCACATTAAATACTTCTCTGGTCTTGGATCAGGTTGACCCTAGCCTTGGGGTGAAGCAAGCCCTTCCCTAAAAAGATGAGCAAAAATACTACTCTATTTGTCCCAAGTTGCTTTCTCGGCCTGGGGCTTTAGCACTTCCTGCTTCAGTCACCTTTATGAGCACCAAAGACTCTGAAGGTCCTACACACAGACCTTCACTGCCTCCAGCAGGATCCAGCACTTCCTAGGACCGCAGAGCTCAGTGTGTGCACTGCTTGTGTGTGCATATGCGTGGATCCCTTGTCTTGCCCCTCCCCTTCTGCTCTGGTATTTTTGTTTTTAAGTTTACAACAGGGGGGGAGTTAATTTATCAACAGCTGAAAACTATTGCCAGTTTTTCTTACAGTTTAAAAAAGATTATGGTCTCACAGATAGCTCCCTGTCTCATTCCCTCCCTCAGCCCAGGGACTTGGGGACTCTGTTGTCCACCTATTCCAGGTGATGAGGCAGAGTCTGGGCAGCTTTCTTCTCATCCATTATTAATCCTGTCTGAAAATTCAAGCAAGAAAACTTTGCTTAAAAGACTTCATGTGTGGGAACTACAATGCCTGGTTGCCTTTCTCCTGTGTATGTGTAAATTCCTCAATAAATATTGCAGGGAAGGCCCATTCTCTTTGCTGTCTGTTTCTGTGTCACTCATGGAAGAGGGAGAGGTATACATAGGTTTTCTGCTTTCTAGGGCAGTACCTTTTTTTTTTTGAAGGGTCTTGCTAGGCTGCTAAATTGCTCAGTCTGTACTCAAATTTATGATCCTCCTGCCTCAGTCTCCCAGACTGCTGAGATTACAGGTGTGTACTACAGTGTCCAACCCTCTCTTCTTGTAATTTAAGAAATTCTCTTCTTGACATTCCAGGGGCCAGGCCCACACTTGAGTGATCAGAAAGGGGTCGTTTCTCCTGGTGTGTGCAGAATTGAGAGCTGATGGGCCTAGGCATGTGCACCTGAGAAGGCTGCAGAACCTTGGAATTAAAAGCATGTTTTTCCCACAGATGGAGAAACTGAGGCCCAGAAAAAGGAAACAGCTAGTCAGGGATCCACTACAGGATATTTGGCAGAGCCCACACTTGAGTCCAAGACTCTGGACTTCCAGTCCCTTGTTCTTTCCCTATGCTTGCATAATAAAAGAAGGAGTTTAAAACTCCTCTGCCAAGAGAGGAGCTTTGGCCAAGGTAATTCACCCCTTGGTGCACTGTTGAACAAGGAGAGTAGACTTCCACATCAGTGGTTTATATGAACAAAGGGTGAGCACTGAGCCCAGCAAGGGTGCTGGAGGTGAGTGTTAGGGAGCAGGGGGAGGCAGCCAGGGGGTGGGGTGAGAGAGCACTCCCAAAGGTACCCTGTGAGCAAGGTACTGCAAGAGCACAGGCCATCTGGGGGACATGCAAACAGAAGGGGTTCCAGAGCAGTTCTGGAAGTTCTTTTCGTCAGTTGCTTTATGAGATTTTATAAAAAATGTGAATTCTGCTGCCAGGGGCCACGCAGTGGGAAAGCAGGCTCATAGAACATTACCATGTGTCTACATGCACCCCATTCACCAGATCTGGCACTGTGAAGCTTTGGATTTTTTTTCATTAAAATGACCATGAAAAATAAATGTTTTGAATTAATTCAGGACCTCAAGGCAACCACAACTGCACAACGAAAGTCACTCATGAAAGTGGATTTCCAAAACCACTTCAGAAAGTGACAAGAGTGATGGGATAAGTATGTTCAAAATGAGGAAGAGGATTTTGAAGGGATTAATGTAATATTTTAAAAATTCAAATATTTAATATATTTTATCACATATATGGTAAGCTTTCAAGAAAGGAAGCAATATAAATTCCAAACCAATAGAGAGAAAAACATTGAAATAAGAAAATGGAAGTGGGCCAAGCATGGTGACATACACCTGTAATCTCAACACTCCAGGAGGCTGAGGGAGGGTCCCAGCTTCAAACTCAGTCTAGGCAAGTTAGCACCTTAGCAAGAACATATCTCAAAGTAAATCATAAAAAAGGCTTGGGGATGTATCTCTGTGTAAAGACCATGGGTTCAATTCCCAGTACCATGGATGGGATGGGGGAGATGTATATATCAACTGTCTACCTTCCCTGAAGTGAAAGATGAAAGTAAAAATTTTGAAATCTACAGCAAAGTGGAGCATGTAAAATTAAAAGTGCTATGCTTGAAACATCTAAATTTTAAAGTACAATAAATATAAGTGGGATAAATACATTTAAAATATTGAGAGTGTCAGGTTGGCTTTTAAAACCCATTCTTCCTGGTATCTCACACCATACTTTTAAAGTCATTTTCCTCCTAAAGTTCCGTGCATCTTTTGAAACTTTATTAAGTGGAAGTTTCTTTGACTATAATCTGAA